CACACAGATCGTTAAAATGGGAGAAGGAAACGATTTGGTGAATGAAAACGCCTTTTTAATTGTGTGAAAATGAGGGAAATTATGGAACGGATCGTGGTGCTGAAATAACCTCAGATTTGGTAAAGATTTGTTCCGAGAATCGCCATAATGGAGACGAGAAAGAAAAGGCATGGCCAGAATGACAACTTCCTGATGGATGGCAATTTGAGAGCCATAAATCGCGATTGAAATGCTCGTTCATCTTATCGCGATTGAACGAGCACCACCCAAATAGTTTCCACAAAGAACTCTCATAATTAAATTATGCAAATTTCGCACTCTCCGTTCGTCGGCGCCATCAAAGTCAAGCAATAAACCACCAAATCAAGTCAAGTCTAGTTTGTTTTTGGCCAGAGTGGATCACTGCTTTTGGGCGTTTTCCTTTCGGCAGAGGGCGACTTGTTAACCTGTCACATCGTTAAAGATTTGATTGATTTCGCTCAGGAAGCCAAAAACACCTGGGCGGTCGCCATAAGATCTTAATGGGTAAATAATGTAGCGTATTTAAATGTGTGGCGGGACCACTAAAGTTTATTGCGAAAAAATGTTTGTCTAGTTACTCAGAGCATGCACTAAAAGAAACTAATTAATTTAGATGATTTTTATTTAAGGAGCCACTTTTTTCTGCATGCAATTATATATGTATATCTTGATGCAATGCATTTTAAAATTCAGTAACTATTATAAATTTTAATATTTAATCTTTGAATGACAAAAGCTTCTTATTAATGCATTTCATTTACCGCTTTTAAAACTGTGCAATATATGCGGTAAAGTATCCTAAATTTTGTTTTTTTTTTCTTCAGTGCCTTCTAAATTTAATCTTTACTAAAATGTGTAGTTAATCGTTCAATTTTCGGGCACACACAACCAACAACAACGGCAACACCAAACAACCAGTTTGCGTTGGCGACGACTTTGCATTCCCCTTTGACGTGGAAACATTTTTTCCCAGTTGGGTTTGGTTGTGTTTTTGTTGTGTTGTTAAAGATTTATCACTATTCTCCACACAATTTCTCAATAAGCAGATCGGTTGGCCCTCTCCCTCGCACACTTAGTCGCCATCCCGCTCGTCCATTCGATTCCAATGAAATGTGTTTTCGAATAAAAATGGTCCATGCGATGCGATCGAATTTAAATTGAAAAATTTGATTTTAATTCTTGCATTTGAAATGTGTTTTCATTAACATAATTAACGTCCGATTAAATGTTTAGTATCGCCCTCCCTCTCACTTTCTGCCCCTGTCCCTCTCTGCCCATTCTACATGTTTGTTTTCGTTTGAATTGTTGTAAAAATAAAATAAATTACACTTTAAGAGCAAAGAAAGTTCCCTTAAAAGACGTTGACAGCTATTCGTCAGTCCATTAAATTTGGGGTTTTTTTTTAGGTGGGTTCGTATTTTTTGTTTTTAGGATGCATTAAAAGTCAAACGATCTCGGGCGTGTTTGTTTCTTCACTTTCGTGTGTTTCTCGATCTGGGGGGTCCATGGGGGGACTCCAGATGTTTAACGTGGGGCCAAGGGGTGCCTTCCCCCCTTGATTTATGTTTGTGGCTCATTTATATTGAAATTTGATATATTCGAGCGCACGCGGTTCATTTTGCAAAAGCCGCCCGTCTCCACTTCGTATTTTATATTCGAATTAATTGAAATGATTGTGATCTACAACATCGCCGAGCCATACGCCTCGTATGCATATATAGCCACTTTGGATCTGTATATATATAGTATGGCGTGCATATATAATTCATGAATATCGCTTTGTCCGCGCTCCACTCTCCTTTGTCTCTGTCTCGTTTTCAGCGAACTTTTATCCCATCCATATAAATTATATCTCGGGTAGACAATAGTATAACACCTCCTAAATGCTGTTGTTTGGGCCACGGTTTAGTTTTATTGCCGTGGCTGACAAATACATAAATGGTGTAGGGCGTTTGGGTGGGCGTTACATTAGAATTTGCATGGAAATTTGGGGCTTTTCTTTGATATTTAACTATTTGCCGCCAGTTATTGGAAATTGAGATGTTTAAAAGCCTAAGATTGCGTCTATTTAAATGGAATTTATAAGATATTGTACTTGTCTTTTTGTAGACTTTAAGTCCCCCATTAATTTTTTTGTTTTTTTTTTTTTAGTACGAAAAAGTTATTTATTATCTTAAATATTTGTTTAATTCCAGGGTTTTTTTATGAAAACACCAAACTCTAAAAATTTGTATGGCACTTTATTTTCACCTTGAGAAATCAGCAACCCCAAAAAGGTCGTTCAATCTTAATGCCAAAATGCTGGGCCGACCATCGCTGAAAATAAACTTGGCAAATCAACACATTTGTCAAGCTACACATAACACGAGGGTCCAAAGACCCAAGAGCGAAGAAAACAAAAGTCAAAGCCACTAAGCAATTAAACGGAATCCGAAAGGAGAACAAACAAATCGGAGAAGAATTGGGATGGGATGCGGGGGAAATCCATGGCAAGGTAAAGTTGATCACCCGCTGACAGAAAATCACTTGGCAACTCGGCTGATCATTAACCGATAACACATGACATTAAAGGGGTTCACAAAGAAGTTTTAAACGCACACAAAATAAGATAAATGCCGACCACCCCAATGAGGAGGAGGAACCCGTCGGCCGAAACTCCGAGTCCCCGACAATAACGAGCGGAAAATTAATAGTGTGAACAAAGAAGAAGATTCGTGGGGGGATCATGGAGAACCTTGGGGAATCGTGGGGAATCTGAAGGAGGAGGAGGAGGAGATCCGAGGAGATTCGAGATCTGGGCATCTGAGATAGGTATCAGCTTACATTGGAGCCGGCCCCATAACGACGACAGTAGTAAGGAGTTGGAAATTTGTCAAAGTGTCAACGGGTGAAACAGTTTTGGGCCGAGGATTCGATGGGATGCCACGGCCTAAAAGGGGATCTTCTTCGTTTTGGGGCAACCACGTAGCTTTTGTAAAACAAACCATTAGCAGCTAATAAACATTAGTCATGCGACAAAACAAAGTCTCTGCAGTCCGAAGGAGCCCGATGATTTAGTGAGTGTAATTAAAACTTAAGTTTCCTTCGCTTCGCATATGTAAATAATCTGCCGGAATTCCACGAAAAGCCAAACGAACTGAAATAAAAAGGAAAAAAAAACGAAATAAGAAATACGAAAAAGAGTTTTTCAACTAAGGTTGAACAAGTTTTTGGTGTTTGTGCTGTTCTCCAGACGGCGGGGCTCACATATATAATTATAATGAATCGCCTGTTTAATCGAAATTTATGCAGATCGTGGGTAACCGAAGCGAGCAGCGCGTGTTGACAGTCAAACCATTATCAATCACTGCTCAAGAGGATCGGTAGTTGGTTGGCTAGCCACCGTTCTTGGGGGGATTTCGTTGGGCTCCCCAACAGGTATTGCTGATAAGATCGTTTTGTAAGTGATCGCCGACAAATCGTGTACAAGATTGCGAGCCATTAGAAACTCTACTCGGTAATTGGCAATTAGGAGTTGAATTCGCATCCTCGTGAATCATATCACCCCCATTTCACTGGATCCCATTCCATGTAGCTGTAAACGTATACCACTTCATTTGTTTCAGGAGCTTCCTTGAATTCCGGTTGTGTGTCACCATCTTTGCCCAACATCTGCGGATCCTCGGAGTCCTCGACTCGGATCCCTCGTTATTTACGAGCTTTTCACCCAATCACAAATCACTCGGAGCATTTTGTTTTGCACATTTTTATGGTCGCTACTGATGCTATGCAAGTCGAAGGAATCGCTCTGCTCTGATTTGCGATGGGGATGAATTTAATGCTTAAAGTTAAGGCAAGAGAAGCCTAGTTTTTGGTGTCCATGTGGAGCATTTAATGTGTAACCTTAACGAGCAAAAGAATTTAATTTCTCAAATTTGTAAGCCAGCTATTTACTGCCTATATAATATATTATATTACGTCTTGAATTACGTTTTAAATTGTTAGACTTTAAAATTTTATACTATTTAAATTTATGACTGACAAAAAAAACAAACACAATATTAATAATTTGTTACAATTTAAGATATCATTTTTGTTACAATAACGGAATAAACAAAAAAATTTAGATTTTGTTATTTAGTAAAGAGTTGGAAATATTGTTAGAATCATTATTATTACAATTGGTGCTTAGAAGACATACTTTGTAATTTCTTTTTATATCCCCAAAAGATTATCTAACTTCCTTTACTCCCATTTTGGTATTCCGAGGGATTATGTCATGGCTAGCCGTGGGCCATTAGTTCCTTCCCACACTCACACATACTCAAAAACTCTGCCGTGACGAGTGGAGTCACCTCAAAAGATGATCGCTGCGCATGCGCATAACCGTAAGGTTCACACATGCCTGGGAATCGGAATCGGTCGAGGATTCGCGCGGGATGCGGATGAGAATCCGAATGAGAATGTGGATGTGGATGTGGATGTGGATGTGGATGTGGATGAGGAACAAGAGAAATACATTTTGAAAACTTAACGATGCGCACATTTTATTACCGCAATTAATTACAAAAACAACGCGGCCAAAACGAAATCTTAGTCACTTTATCAGGGCTCCACAGCAAGAGAGAGAGGCAAAGAGAGAACGAGAGAGATAGAGAGGGAAAGAGGAGAAGGGAAGTAGACGAGCGATCCGAGGGCAGCGATAAGCTTTATGATAGATGTGACTAGTAGAACGCTACTACCAAATGGTTCTTTTGGGCCTGCAGATTGCAGCTACTCTCGTAATTGGAGGCGCGACAGTTTGTCTCCAGCAGTCAAACCTGGTTAATTGGAGAGGTCCAGAGAGGAAGAGAGCGACTGAAACGACCTGTTCAGGGGAAACCTGTTTGCCGACCAATTAAATTCGAGAGCGGGAGCGTAAGCCTGGCTTTTAGGCCCGGTCAAAAGACGATGACGGCTGCTGTGGGCCGTGATCGCAAGACATTTCGTGTTTCGACGCGTAACGCGACAGTTCCCGTCTACGAATCGTCTCCGCCAAAGGTAACCAAATCCGAATCCGAAATCGGCAACGCCAGCGGTCTATGAGTGATTCTCCGGAGTGGCAAAGAATGGGTTTCAAGCACGCCATGCTGCAGCGCAGTTACGATCTCTCCCCATCGCCGGCGCGAACTTCACCCACAAATGGAGTTCCAGCTTTGGGTGCCCAGCCACCGGCTCAAGTCACCGACTTTAGTATCAGTAAAATCCTGGGAAAGGAACGCAAACCTTCCCAGGATGCGGGAACTAATATACTGGATCTCTCGAAGAGCAGCGGCAGCAGCAGCGGCAGTATGAGGAGTCCTCAGCCAGGACTTCCCATGCCCCAGGCTCCCTATGGAGGATACTCCATGTTGCCGCCAGATTTGGTGGCCATGGCCAGTGCCACCAAGTTCTATGCCCAGTTCTTCCCGCATCTGCTGCCCGCTTATGCGGCTGCTGCTGCAGCTGCAGGCTTAAGTACACCACCCACTTCACCCTACCAACAACAGCATCAGCAGCAGAGTTTGCCAAGCCAACAGAAGAGATTCTTCGCACCCTATGTGATCAATGGACAGACTCCTCACCAACAACAGCCAGTCCTTCGGCCAAAAAGCACCGCCTGCACTCGACCAGATTGCCTGGAGTGCCTGGATTACTACCAAAGATTGCAGGCCGGTGGCTACAAGCAGGCCACGCCCCTCATCTCACCCGCCGCCTCTTCCGTGAGCAGTTCCAGTGGCTCCGTGCGACCTGTTAGGGATCTCCTTATGAGCGCCGCAGGAGGAGCCGTCGGCACCAACATCTCACTGACCACCGTCACCAATCTGAGTCTAAACTCGGTCCAAACCCAGGCCGTCGGAATGATGCCAAAAATGGCCGGAGGATTGGCTACCACCGCCGTCGGCAGTAATAGTGGAGTAATCGGTGGCATCCCCAACTACAATCCAACGGCCGCCGAGGAGATCAGCTACAAGTGCAGGATTTGCGAGAAGGTCTTCGGGTGCTCCGAAACTCTTCAGGTGAGGTTTTTTAATATTTTTAAGTATATTTATTTAATAAAAAAGTCAAGTCAAGTAAAAAATCAGGTCAATTCCCAACAACTTTTTAATACTTAATGAAATTCTAGAATGGAATATTAAGGTTGAAAATATAAATAAAGTTTCTAAACACTTTAAAAAGTAAACACTTTAAAAAAGTACCTACGTTTTTCTTATTTTTATAAACTCTATATAACAAGTTAGTATTTTAACAACGAAATATTTATACAATAAACGATAATTAAACGATTTATACAATTTTATAAATACTTACAACCGAAACATTAACCGAAAACCAAATCATTTAAGCAAATACAAAAATACAAAATTACAATTTGAACATTTAACCGTTTACAAACGGGTTTGAAAATATTTATGGCATTGTTAAATGAGTTTATTGGAAACATTTAATGGATTACTACTGATCTACATTTTGCACAGAAATTTAAATGTTGTTAAACAAAATCAAGAGTCAAATTCCTTTTCAAACTCGCAAATTCAATTTTAATTAAATAACACCAATAACCTTTCAAATTGTCATACGTCAAACAAGATATCCTCCCGAAACGGGTTTATTAGCCAACCGATTTACCATCTGGAATAGGGCGGGGCTTAAACGGAGATCCAACGAGTGGGAGGAGCTTCAAGGAGAAAGATTGAGTGGGGAAGAGAGAGCAGCGGAGAATTGAGTGCCTTATGCAAATCTTGCGGCCCGTTCAAAATGGAGTCGGCCGAAAACAGAAGCGGGCTTAAAGAGAGAGAACTGGTTTTACGCATGGGTGCAGGGCCCAGCTACCAGATACGTTAGAAAGAGAGCGCAAGCGATCGGCCAAGTGAGAGGCATTCACAAAATGGCCCCAGACAAAAAGAACAAGAATTTCAGTTGGCTTCTCATATGTCTCATAATACTAGTTTTCGAAACGTAACATTTTTTAATTTGTTAAAATACCTTCTAAATTTCATAACATATTCATGTCCGATTCTCAAAGACCACACTCCATAACTTTTCCAATTTTAGTCCGATTTCAAAGTGGCATACCTCTAAACGTTTGTAATCGCATTCTTGAAGGAAATGCATTTAAAATTATTCATTTGGGGATGGTCGAAATTTTTTTTTTTTTTTTTTTTTTTAAAATTATTAATTTTGACCCCAGTTCAACTTAGATATGTAGATGTAAGTTTTCGGATGATTTTTGCCAGAAGTCATAGTTCTCGAGGTCCACAACCATCATTTCGTGAAATTTGTATTATAAATTTATAATAACGAATATTGTATTTTTTTTTAAAAATTTTAGGCTCATGAAAAAACGCACAAGTCTCCACGTTACGAGTGCGCGGACTGCGGAAAAGGCTTTTCCCAGCTGCGGAACTATAAGTACCACCTTTCCGTTCACCGGGGAACCAAAGAATTCGCGGCTGAGTGTCCCGAATGCGGCAAAACGTTCAACGACAAGGGCTATTTGAGCAGCCACCTGAAGATCCACAGGAACCGAAAGGAGTATGAATGCCCATATTGCCCTAAATCATTCAACCAACGTGTTGCCTTCAACATGCACGTACGGATTCACACGGGAGTTAAACCACACAAATGCAATGAGTGCGGCAAGAGATTCTCGCGGAAAATGCTGCTTAAACAGCACATGAGAACTCATAGTGGAGAAAAACCATATCAGTGTTCAGTGTGTGGAAAGTCTTTCGCCGATCGCAGCAATATGACCCTGCACCACCGGCTTCATTCGGGAATCAAGCCCTTCAGTTGCCCTCTGTGCCCCAAGGCCTTCACCAAGAAGCACCACCTGAAGACGCATCTCAATTACCATACTGGATGCAAGCCTTACGTGTGTCCACATCCCAATTGCAACCAGGCATTCACCCAGTCGAGCAATATGCGGACCCACGCCAAAAAGTGCCAGTATCGCCCACTTGATGGAGTCGCCTCCTCTGCACTTCCTGCCCCTGGAAAAGCTCCTCAGCAGGTGCCGCCAACTTCCCTGGCTTTGGCCATGGCTCCAACATTCGCGATGCCTCCACCACCTGGACCGCTACCAACTTTACCACCTCCGCCAGCCCAGCAAACTCTTCTTAGCAATCTGAGGACATTCTGATCGGGGCGAAGTCGATGCTGATAGCAAAATAGATACAAACCAAAATTGAAGCTTTTACCAAGCATAGTTCTTCCATTATTTTTTTTAGTTTTAGGTACATAAAAACCACTAAAAGCTAAATTTCGTTAAAAAGAAAAGCAAACATTGAGCAATATAATTATTAACCGTATTACCATTTAAATTTAGACAACTTATTATTGGAACAACTTTTGTAAATAAATAAAATAAATATTGCATAGCATTTAAGAAATAAATGTAAAATTTGTATAAGTCAATCGAGCGTTTTAAAAGGGTTTTAAAAAGTTGGAATCTAGATAGCACTGGCATTTTAGTTTGTCAGTAAGGCTTTGAAACTCTTTGAGCAAGGCATATTAAAGAAAGCGTTCTCCGTCAAATAGCTGGATTATTTTCAGTATTATAACATCGAACAAAAAAGTTTCTCTTTGCTTCTGGTTACTAGTTCTGAAAAAGATATGGATGAATTGGATGAAGAATATGGAAATGGTGATCTGGACTTAGCCGAGATTATCGACTCATTAAAGGAAACTAGCGACTCATCAAAGATGCTGGATCGTTATCCCCCCTACTCTCCATTCTACGGAGTGATGGGCGTCGTCTTTTCCAGTGTGCTGACATCGGTTGGAGCGGCCTACGGAACCGCTGTCTCCGGAACCGGAATCGCTGCCACAGCCGTGATGCGTCCGGAATTGGTGATGAAGTCAATTATTCCGGTGGTTATGGCGGGAATCATCGCCATCTATGGTTTGGTGGTTTCCGTGCTGCTTTCTGGCGAACTGGCGCCTTCTGAACGGTACTCGCTGCCCTTGGGATATGTGCACTTGGCAGCCGGACTATCTGTGGGATTCGCTGGACTTGCTGCTGGATATGCAATTGGCGAAGTGGGCGACGTTGGAGTGCGGCACATCGCTCAGCAGCCACGCCTCTTCATCGGCATGATTCTGATCCTGATTTTCGCCGAGGTACTCGGTCTCTACGGGCTGATCATAGGTATATATCTATATACGGTTAATATTTCATAATAAATTTATTTATGAATCATAAGAAAAATGTAGATGATAAATATGTTATAAAATATCAAAGAACAAATAATTTTTTTTTTTTTTTAAATGTAGTAAAGGGTTTTTATGGTTGGACAGTGCTGCCACCTTGCTATTGGTTCGAGCCTCCGCTTTGAACCTTATAGGTGGTATTCGAAACTTCTGGTCACACTTATATTCACATATATTTGAACGCCAATACATCGATATGTTTTGATAAAATATTTGTTTATGTCGTGATATCGAGTACAGTTTTTGCAGAGGAGTCGTTTTGTTTATCGATACTTTGTAGATTTTGTTAGCAATTAATAAATTTAAGCGAGCGGAAAATACGCAGGAAGCCAGAAACCAGTGAAAACTTGCCCGAGGGACACAGGAGGCGTGGGGTCCACTTGGCCATATCAACTATCAATCAAATCAGATCGAACCGAGCTTTCGATTCGGCTAATTTCGCCATCGGGCACAATTTCATCACTGCACACGTGTCTGGAGCTTCGCTTGGAAATTGGACACCTCCGTGGATTGCGGACAACCACGAAGGGGCTCTGGGACATTCCCAGCAGTCGGCGGCGGGCAGAAAGAGACTTTTCCGGCGGAGAAGAGGCTGCAGCAGCTAATTCGAGCTGCTGCCCAGCGGAGGCGACCGTGGGAGCACCGGACTTTCCATGGCTGAATACTGGCAGCATTTGACCAACGGCGCCGGCGGATCAGGCTCGGGATCAGCAGGATCGCCTGCCATGGCCGCGTTGAATGGAGGGCACGAGACGCCGGCGACGGGTGGTTCCAACAACACCTCGAACGGCAACAACAACTATGTGAACTTCAATCAGTTCATAATGCAGCACAATCTGGGCGGTGGAGCACCCTCGAATGCCGCAGGCACCATGCAACATCCACTTGGTAGCAATAACATCAACAGCAACTCAAACTACTCCCTCGGCGGCGGCGGAGGGGCTTTTGGACTGAATCCACCAGTGGCACAAGGGAACACCAACAACTTCACAAATGTGAGTCATGCTTGAAAGTTTTCCTAATCAATAGAAAAAATTTACAACGCCTTGATTAAGACACTTCCTATCCCAAAATTTGTATCTAATCGAGACTAGCATCATTCTGGTGATTAATTGGTTCATTGCTTTCTCTTAATAGTTAAAACAAAAAAATAAATAACTGTTTTTTTCACACAGTTTTATTCGCAGCCCATCTTCCCATCGTATTCAAATGGCGAAGGCGTTGCCGCCTTTTCCAACAGTTACGGGTCGGACAATCCGAGCAGCAGCACTTTTTCGAGTCTTTACACCCCGTTTGGCAATAATCCATTTGACTTCAGCGCTTCCAAGCTGCAGGCCTCAGCGCCCGAATTCGTGCCCAGTATGGCCAAGCTAAGTCTAGAAGAGACTCCGACGGCCGCAACGAATGGGAACAGCACTGCCAGCCAAGAGACTGCCATAAATGAAACGAGATCTAGGAGCTTACAAGCAGATGGAGCTGCTGAACGAGGAGCCAACAACCATCGTTCGAACCAGAATTACGAAAGGGAGCGAGACAGGGACTCGCGTCCAGGCAGCACGCGACAGCAACGACGCTCTGATTACCGCGAAGATCGGGATGATCGCAGAGAAAGGGAGGAGCGAAGGGAGAGAGAGGATCGCTACGAAAGAAACGATCGCAGAAGGCCACAGAAGCAGCAACGCTACGACAATCATCGGAGCAATAAACGCAGGGACGACTGGAACCGTAACAGGGATCGCATCAACGGGTTTCCCCGGGCCGTCGACGATCTGGACACGAGCAACGAGAGTGCCCACCCATCACCCGAAAAGCAGTCACAACAGCAACAGATTTCGCCCAGAAGAGCTCCACCGCCCCCACCGGCGGACAACGAGAAGCTATCGCAGCGAGAAAAACTCATCCGCGACATCGAGCAACGACGTCTGGAGTGCCTAGTTTGTGTGGAGGCGATCAAGGCGCATCAGCCCACCTGGTCGTGTCAGAACTGTTACCACTTGCTTCACCTAAAGTGCACCATCACCTGGGCGAGCAGCTCCAAGTCAGAAGTGGGCTGGCGTTGTCCAGCCTGCCAGAATGTGCTGCCGGAGCTGCCCCGCGAGTATCTGTGCTTCTGCGGCAAGCTAAAGAATCCTCCGGTGTCGCGAACGGAGCTGGCCCACAGTTGCGGGGAGGTTTGCTGCCGAATCGAGGGCTGCAGTCACGCGTGCACTTTGCTCTGCCATCCCGGTCCATGTCCGCCTTGTCAGGCCAACGTGGTTCGTAGCTGTGGCTGTGGGCGCAGCTCCAAAACCATGCAGTGCGCCATGAAGGAGGAGCTCCTCTGCAACGAGATCTGCAATAAGACGCTCAACTGCGGCGAGCACAACTGTCAGTCGGAGTGCCACTCGGGCAAGTGCGCCGCGTGTCCCGAGCAGGTTGAGCAGCACTGCCACTGCGGCAAGCAGGAGCGCCAGGTGCCGTGCACGCGCGAGAACCAGGATAAGCGGAGCTACTCGTGCAAGGAGAGCTGCGGCAAACCGTTGCCGTGCGGTAACCACAAATGCAAGGACTCCTGCCACGCGGGCAGCTGTAGGTGAGAATATACTCCATTTAATATACATCATTTAAAGTAATTGTATACTTATTAATAGCTTCATATAAATGACTTTATGAAACACAAGTGCTATGTTTGATTTGTGTTTCATTAAATATGTGCATAACACATGACTTTAAAGTACAAAAATTATCTTACTGAACGACAGAAACATTCACCATATAGCCTTACTTATATAAAAGTCAATTGTATGCTAAGTTCTAAGTATTCCAAAGCTTTAGCGACTGTGTCTGTCTTACCATTTAAAGGGTATTATAAAATATAAATGCATCATTTAAATAATAAAAACCTCTCATTACAGGCCCTGCAAGCTGAGTCCCGAGCAGATAACCAGCTGTCCCTGCGGCAAGATGCCTATACCGGCGGCCCAGCGTACGAGCTGCCTGGATCCCATCCCCACTTGCGAGGGCATCTGCTCCAGAACGCTGCGCTGCGGGAAGCCGGCGCATCCGCATCAATGCGGCAGCAAGTGCCATTTGGGCCAGTGTCCCCCGTGTCCCAAGCAGACGGCGGTGAAGTGTCGTTGTGGTCACATGGACCAGATGATCAAGTGCCGGCAGCTGTCCAGCCGAGCAGATGATGCCCGTTGCAAGCGACGCTGCACCAAGAAGCGCAGCTGTGGCAAGCACAAGTGCAACGCCGAGTGCTGCATCGATATCGACCACGCATGTCCGTTGCCCTGTAACCGAACTCTGAGTTGTGGCAAACACAAGTGCGACCAGCCGTGCCACCGCGGCAATTGCCCGCCATGCTACCGCAGCAGCTTCGAGGAGCTCTATTGCGAGTGTGGCGCTGAAGTGATCTATCCACCAGTGCCGTGTGGCACCAAGAAGCCCATCTGCAAGCGCCCCTGCTCGCGCCCCCATCCCTGCGAGCATGCGCCGCAACACAACTGCCATTCGTCGGCCACCTGTCCGCCCTGCATGATATTCACCACGAAGTTCTGCCACGGCAACCACGAGCAGCGCAAGACCATTCCCTGCTCGCAGCCCAACTTTAGCTGTGGCATGGCCTGCGGCAAGCCGTTGCCCTGTGGCCGCCACAAGTGCATCAAGCCGTGCCACGAGGGTGCCTGCCAGTCAGCAGGAGAGATTTGCCGCCAGAGCTGCACCAAGCCGCGAAACAATTGTGGGCACAAGTGCTCGGCTGCCTGTCACGAGGGAGCCTGTCCAGAGACTCCCTGCAAGGAGCTGGTTGAGGTTCAGTGCGAGTGTGGCCACCGGAAACAGAGTCGCAGCTGCCAGGAGCTGGCCAGGGAGCACAGTCGTATAGCCACCGCCCAGCTGGCCTCATCCATGGCAGAGATGTCGCGTGGAAATTACATGGAGCTCAGTGAGATTTTGGCTCCCGCTAAAGCCAACAAGTCTAATAGAACGTGAGTAGTACAGAAATATAATATAATCAAAAACACAAGTTAATAAATATTTTAATTGTTTTCTTTTAGTTTGGATTGCAACGATGAATGCCGCTTGCTGGAGAGGAATCGTCGCCTGGCTGTGGCCCTGTCCTCAGGAAATCCCGATACAAAGCAAAAGTCCCTGACCAAGTACTCGGAGTTCGTGCGTGGCTTCGCTAAGAGAAACCCGGCGCTGACCAAAAGCGTTTACGAGACGCTGAGCGATCTGGTGAAGTTGGCCAAGGAGAGCAAGCAGCGGTCGAGGAGCCACTCCTTCCCCACAATGAACCGCGAGAAGAGGCAGCTGGTGCACGAGCTATGCGAGATATTTGGCATAGAGTCGGTTTCCTATGACAAGGAACCCAACCGCAATGTAGTGGCCACGGCCCATAAAGAAAGGGTAAGTTGAAGTAACGAAAAATGTCCAAAGAATGTGTCAACTTACTTGTCATAATTTGCAGTGCTGGCTGCCTGCCACGAGCATCATGGAAGTGCTGGCTCGCGAGTCCGGACAGCGTCGTGTCCCGGTGCCCAGCAACAATGCATGGGGCTTGAAGAAGTAGATCTAATCCATCTGGATATTCGTATACTGAGATATTCTAAATGTTTAATCGTTGGCGCTGGAAAATAGTACTTTTAATTGGATGCAAGCGATGTGGAACAGGAGCCTGGATGAACTACTGATATCGATCCTGAATGAGAGAAAGCCAAGTGCGCTGCGAGGACAATACACAAGGATTGTTGCCGTTATCACGTATCTTTTGTAAATTATAACGAATGTTAGTTGAACCCTAGAATGCTAAATGTTGAATACTGAATGAAGTGAACTGGATGCGCAGGCACAAATATGAAGAATGCTGTTAACCAATCTGTTGTACGATGAATTTATCCAAAATTGAAACTCTCTGACCACGTTGCATCTAACTAATTAAAAAAGAAATAGATCAGAGGGATAAATAAATGAGAAAATAGAGCCGAGGGAAATTGTTGCGTTTTTCTTTACAATTTTTTGGATAACGAAAATCTTTTAAAATTTTTTTGAGTGTAATTTTATTTCAAAAATTGTTGAAAATTTTTAGTATCTTAAACCAATACAAATTTAAATACACATTAAATCAGTTTGTCGCATCAAAAAACTTCTGTAAGATATCTACCTTATAATGTGTTGTACCAATTAGCTTTCATCAGTATCAATTTAGTGCTGCAAGACGTTTTATAACGGACCGTTTTTTGAAAGTGTCTGTGAAGTGAAGCATAAATTTTAAATGTTTTCAAACATGAGTCTCAAATATTTCATTAGGTACAAGAATCCCAAACCGCATATAAAGGCGTTATTAAAAACAGATCCTGCAATGTGGGCCCTGCCCCACCATTAGATAATTAAAGTTTCAGGGCATGGATATAACCCAAAAGTAGGTGCTCAAGGGATATTCCACCTGATTGTCCTCGTAGTCGAGGAAACTAGAAAATATCCCTTGCCCCCACAGACGCGTTGCCATCTCGTTTCGGGCTATGGGCACACGCTTCTAATTTGTTGCCATTGCCGTTGCCATTTTCACGAAAAACAATAAGCGGCGCCTGGGGAATAATGCCAAAATAAAGATGAAATGTTACGACAAGTTAGAGTGGCGGGGGATTCCCCGAGACGAGGCATACTCACGCACTCAGCGGAACCCAAGGCGGATGGGGTCCTCGGCGGGCTGGAAAAGGCAAAAGGCAAGTCGTATATGAATATAGACCTGACATAATGAGCAGCCTATAAGCGAAATGGCTGCCAACATCGGCCTGCCTCAGCCTCTCAAGATGTGTGCGTAATTTGAATTTAGTCTGCCGGGGAGTTTATTAACAAATACAAAGAAATACGGACGATGCGGGGGCTGAAATGAGCGAAAAAGAATGAACGCCTTCAAGGAGAAACGGGATCTGATGGGCTGGGGAAATAATTCCGGGGAGATTAAATTGTGGTTGGCATCTTTGGACTGGGGCTTTTGGCCAAAGCCCGCGAGATTGAGGGGAAAAGAGTTCATTTTGGGTCAATTGTAACCACTGGATGTGCGTGCGACGAGGGGGGTTGGATGCTATGTATATGATATGTGTGTAATTTTAATTATGTGTTACGGCGAGTCAGAAAAAAAAAATAATAATAAAGAAAAATAAAACAAAACGAAATGGCAAATGTGTGTGCATATGCTCTCGACTGATACTTGAACACCTCAACATTCCAGAAATTACGAAATTAATATGGCTATTTGTTTTAAATTTAAATTTAAAACCAACACGAAATTTTTAATTGTTCGAGAAATTACTTTGCTGCGGTCGGATAGGTGTGGACTTAAAAAATATTCGTTAACTGGCTTTCACGGTGTGTTGAAATATGGGCTTAACTCAATGCGATATCATTAGTTGTCAATTTTGAGTGGTCATAATACCAATTAATTAATTGCGGAAATTACATTCGGGTGTGATAATGAGGAATGGTAACATATTTAAATGATTAAAAAAGTACTACTGTAAGTCTTGTTACCATTTAGTTTGCATTAAAAATTTTAATAAAAAAAGGCGTGCCTTTAATGTGGATTTATCTTTACGTTTATAAAAGCAAAAGTCGATATATGGATTCGGTACATATTCGTTGTTAGATAATCCAGACAGACTAATGTGCTTTTGAATTTATGAACTTAATTAATGCACTGGAAACAGTGAACTAATAAAAATAGAGCGCATTCAAGTCTAACTGAATTGCCAAAAAATTAAAGATAATTTATTAAGTGGAATTTATTTTTCTATTCACTAATTTCCTGTTTTGGATTCTATAGAAAAGACGAATGGTGTGTGTTAAATTTTGGTTAGTCCTTTTAAAAAGTTCCATTCATATTCGGGCACTCCAATATGAACTTTGGCATTTGCCGCAGCAAAAATAGTAACTTGACAAGCATTTGATGCTCATTTGTGACATTTGTCCTGGGCGAACATTCATACATCTATGCATATAACATATGCAGTGGCAGGTAATATGAAAGCTGTCCCTAAAATATTCATTAAGTCTGAGTGCAGTGGCTGAAATTATGCCTGCGTGTGGCCCAGTATCCCAGCCAACCCAACCCTCGACCCCAGGCGTGTCCTGCGTCCTGTGAGCACGTGACCCCAGTGAAAAAGAGACGACCACAGAAATGAAAGGAGGCGGGGTCGACTAGTGAAAAGATGGGTGGCAAGCCGGCGAGTCGCTTTCAATTTGCGCATTTTGGCATTTTTAAAAATGCATTAAAGGAGCAGCCTCAGCTCCATCAAGGAGCACAAATAACGTGCCCAAAAAGATCTGCAGACAGACACAGCGAGAATGCGAAAAGAAAAAGTTGCGATGAAAGCGCGAAAATTACTTCCTAAATAGCCGCCTGACTGCCTGCCAAGACTTCTCAGCAAAAAGGCGGCATCTTGGTGGCGAGGGTGGCGGAGAAACGGCCTCCTTGCCGAGACGACGGCCATGTCTTGGGCTCAATAAAGGACACACACAGGCAGGCACTAGCACACACCAGCACACACTCAAGGTACGGTATGCAAAAGGGCCAGGAGTCAGGAGCCGGGAAGAGGTCACAGGCAACGGGGTCGCAGGGTCGAATTCAAATTGCAAATTCGCCGCAGATTTTTTATGCACTTTTCCCTAGCCAAAATTAAGCCAAGCGAACGCTGCGCTCCGGAACGATTTCCAGACGGGTACCAAGACCAGGAACAGGACTAAAACCAAGTGCAGGACGACCAGGAGGACGACATTGCTGACGTTTTGACAGCGAAATAAAAAAAGAAATAGACTGCAACAGGGAATGGTAATAGAAGGCGGGGCCTGAGGAAAGAAGGCCCAACTGAATGCAAATATTATCGTATCTGTATGCGAAGACAGACCAGCGAGGGAATATCGAGGTAATCGCGAGGAGAAATTGCACAGAGAAAAACGTATCAAAATAAGAGTTCCTTTTGAAAAAAAATTAAGTCTGAAAGTTAAATGTATACAAATAAACAAACAAAGATTGCCTAATTAATTTTGGCATATTTATAGCAGTGTTACAAATTAAACAAACATTATTTTAAATGAACCTTACATATATGAATAAAATTTTAACAAATTTAAAAAAATTAATATAATAATTTATTGTTATACAAAAATAGCTAATATTATTTTCCTGTGCAGGGAAAAGGGAAAAAACTCAAGAACGAGTACGACGACGAGTCTCGCCTTTCTATAAGACCTTTTCTATAGCGAAAAGGTGACAAACTGGTCGAGCCACTTGTGAATGGTGGGGGATTGGGTATTGCGAAGGCCATGCGGAGATATAACCACCCAAAACCACCCACTGACTATCTGTCGCTGCTGGCCCACTTTGGACTCCCTTCCGCCATCCAACTAAATGCATTTCGGTTTTATTCATATTTTATTCAAATGTGGCAACCAAAATGGCACAAACACTGCACAGTTATTTATGTAATTCGTTCTTTTTTCCTGCAGTCGTCCTTGTTGCACCAGAGATGCAATAAGGGAACTTGGAAATGAACCAAATGCGAGATACGTAAATTTCAAGAGGAAAAAGACAATTTGGTGGGTCACCGAACCGATTCCTTTCATAGCTTTTGGTTCAAGTTAAGGCAATATTTTGTATGAATAATTGTATTTTTATAGAAAACCTAGTCGGTAAATTTGTTTTAATTTAAAAACTACCGATATGTCTTAAATCCCAAGTAAAACTCAATTGAATGAAGAAATATTTAGCTATAAAAACTAAAACAAATACGAATTTTCAACATTTCATACTCTGGATATTTTTTAAATAATAAAACTAGTTCCATTATCAACAGACCTACCTGAAAGCATGATTTATTTTGTAGCTCACTAATTGTGCTTATTCGATTACGTTCAAGCCAAGTGCAGCAACTTGAAATGAACAAGGCAACTCAGTGTCACGAACTGTCCTCGAACTACGACGAGTCACTTGTTTGCCTTACTAAAATTTCACTTAGTTATTTATGCATTTATTTCTTGATCACTTTAGCAAGAGGGCAACGAGGCAGGAATTTTATAATTCTCATTGTTCAAGGCTGTGGGGCGGGCGTACTGATGGGTTGCTTATAAATAAAGCCACGAGACATCAGCTTGCCATGAATTGCATTTTCGCTTCGCCTCCGCTCATCTGTTCGCCTCCGTCCCGGTTTTTACCAATATTCCGTCGCTGCCTCGCTTCGCCTCTCACGAAGCCTTTGCCTTTTTGCCATAAACTTGTCATCATTTTAATATTGGCAGCTTATAAAGCCACGATAGACGGGGGACGTTGGGAATTGGAGGGGTGAGCGGCGCGAGGCGTTCGAACCGTATAAAATGGAAGCAGAGCGGGACGTCGACCCAAAGCCAATGTCAGGCCAAGTCAAGACAAGCCAACTCAGCAGCGGATTATCTGCGACAGCAGCATGGAAAGCGCCGACACGGCTGGTGGTTGGGCGGTAGTGGAGTTGTGGGAGTGGGTGGGAGTGGGTGGGGTCGGAAGGTCACAGGATGTGCGGTGGGGCTTTTGGGGGCGGGCTTACAGGACACAAGGACAGGTCGTCTAGCTAGCTAGCTAGTTTGTGTGTTGCAGAAATTTACTGTAAAATACAATTTCCCGTTTTTATAGCTCATTTCCAACAACATTTGCTTAGCCGCCGTCACCAGCGTCTATGGGAAAACAATTTTTATTGCATTTCGCTGGCAATAAGGAAAATGAGCGGCGTGGCGAAAAAGTGCTGGGGGGGGGAGGAAAAACGGGAAGGGGATAAAGGAAAAGGGGTGATGAATGGTGAATGTCGAACGGTGTGGGAGTAAGTAAATATTACTTCTTTTCTTCTTTTCACTTCCTCGTCCATCTGCCGCTGCCTCTTACTCTCTTTTTTTAAACACTTGGCATTAAGTGCAACAGCTGGGGCGGGAAACGGTGGCCAGTCAGCCAACGTTTCCTGCGTTAGTT